TGCCCGTCATTCCCGGATAGCCGACGACGAAGAGAGAGAGGCGTTCTCGCGGCAAAACACTTCGCTTCGAGAATCGATCGGCCGTCGTCGTTGTCGACGACGCGAGTAAAAGAACAAACTCTAGGCGGCGGCGGCGGACGGATAATTAGCGTACGCGCGAAAACACCAGGAACACTTACTGGAAACACTTAACTCCTACGGGGCTCTCCACTTTGCTTAATTGCGTCCTTAAATCAACAGCCCATTTACGCTATTGCCGTTTGCCGCGTCTGTGCGCAGCGAAGATCAATGCCGCCCGGTGCATAAGAACAACTTCTTGGCGCTCATAATGCAGAACGCGTTTTGTCGTTTTGCACGATCAGCGCCCCCGTTGTTTTCCTGTCGAATATCGATGGATCGATAATCGCCGTCGATACGTCACGATTTCTGGATCGAAATTTCTCTCTCTCTCTCATCGCAAATATTAAAAAAGTAATATGGACTGCATCACCGATGACATGTGTAACAACGTCCCTAATAACATCTTTCATAATTTCATCAACTCTCAACAACGACCGCTAAATAAATTTTTCAACAAATTACAGTGTAAAATCAACAAAAAAAATTATCCAATTTAGAAACCAATGCAGTCAAACATATCAAACCAATCCAATATTTTGCCAAGAAAATTAAAACAAACATAGCTAATAAAAAAATCATTTTCCACGTCGAGTTCAGTTTCAATCAAACTGATATAGGTATGATTAACGCCATCAAGATAACCATAGAATCTCAGGATATACAATCCAAACATGTTTCTGAAGTAAATGATAAATGGTTCATATAAATCTTACCAACACAACAATTTCTCAAGTAATCTCAGAATTAATTCAATACGGGGAAATCTTTCCCTTCCAGTCAAACAAAATAAAACCAAAATAATTCTCGAAATTATCAAAGATACTGAGAATAATATCAAAAAGACTTGATCTTTAGAAGATAAAGCCAACATTCGAACAAAAATAATCTTCACATTTGAACAGTCTTTTTAACGACAACAAACCTATCACAAACATTGAACAAATTCTATTAAACAAATTCAGAACCACATCCAAATTTTTAAACAACAATCCTAACATCATTTTTAGAGCAGACAAAAGCAATTCCACGGTTGCCAACGATATTAAATTTGAAGACTCCACACAGAACCGGAGGTTCACCTCTCATCATTATTTCATTGATTATTAAAAAAGTAAATTTTTTAATTAATTTAAATAAAATCTGTACCGCACACACAAAGAGCTGAGAAAACTAAGAAAAATCAATCGAATCTTTATACGTGTGAGAGAACAACAACAGTGAAAAATTTCTCTTGGGAAATACAGTGGAGAAGAAAAATTAATTTTGTTAATGTCAATTTGCTTAATCAATAAAATTGATGAGAAAATGTTTATATTTCTAAATAATAAACACGACAAGAGATAACAACCATCTTAACTTCCCTACGGAAACCGTTACGCAAAAACGCAATATCGCAAGATATTTCGAAAGATGTACCGAAAGATAGTTTCGCGCAAATATCTGAGAGAAACGGGCATGTGTTAAGGCCGGCGCGCGTCGTTCGTCTCTCACAATATCCCGGAGATATCGCGTAATTGCGATTATATATACGGAAAACTCACGTAACAGCTCGCTATATCGGACTACGTTGATCTCGCGGATAAAAGGTCGAGTTCGCCCCCAACTTAGCGGCTCAAATCCCCAGGTGTCGTCTCTCCGGACTTTTCCAAGTTATCTTCATACGCGGAGTTTCTCCTCCGCGCTATTTTCGAATTCAGTTTGGATTGCAAGTTCAGATAAATAACCCCGGGGGCAGAGAAGGTTGTGAGACGCGAGGGAGCGAATCATTCGTCGCGCAAACATTCTTACAATAAGCGAGAGATTCGCGAAATTCGCGATGTTCGCGCCGTCGTGTTCGCAAAATGCGCAATTTTTACGATCTCTGTTTCTTCCGTTTTCTCGTTTTCTCTCTCTTTGCCTGGTAAATTGCGACGGACGATAAAAATCAGAAAAACGCACCACTCGCAAGATCGACCGAAAGGAGATATGAGATTCTGTCCTCGAGATATCGAAAAGAGAAACGGCGATAAGGAAGTAAACGAGCGTTCGCGCGAATCGCCACTAGCGCGCGCGCAAGCGTGTGTTGTCCTCCTTTTTTTTTTTTTTTCATCCCTTACACGCGCGCTACTTTCCGTTAGTAGCGTCGGTCTGGCGAAAATGAATGGACACTTTATCCCAGAGCTGAATCTGAAACACGGCCGAAACGGCGTTCGAAAAGCTTTTGCCGGCTTGCGCCCCGGGATAATTTCCCCGGTTATCGCGATGCTCCGACGGAGGAGCTTCTACAAAAACGGTTACTCGCCGATGGAGATAAACAGAGCGTGCGTTTAAACAGGGATTTCCACCTCGAGTGAAACGGTAAAGTAGCGGCGCGGAACAAGCACGGAGTTATATGGCGCACGAGAATGAACATAATAATAACAGAATAATAATGGCAGGCAACAGAAGAGAGAATACATGTAATATAATTGTTAGACACTCGCGCGAGCGTCTTATCATTTCGCAGCATATTACCGAGAAATTTCGCTGATAACTAATAAAGCAAAATACGAGTTCTGCCATTCCGCGCGCGCGGGAGCGCGTTGCAACTATAATATTTTTCCTTCGGTTTTTCATATGTACTTTTTGCAATTCCATATATTTCTCCGTTAACTTTTTAAAAAGTTTTTAGCAACTACTGCTGATAAATAAAAAACTTGGAAACTTCATTATCACGCGCTTAAAAGAGTTAAAATTTGTTAACGATTGAAAAAAAAAAAATACTCTTATAGAAGACATTTAATATTCTTTATCGCAAATTTTCTTACATCGAACAGACACTTGGGTTTGTTCTAAGCTACACAGCCGAGAACTGTGTTTCGCTTTATGTATGCGATATGACATATAGGTCGAGATAAGTCTCTCGCTCTGGATTTCAGGTTACTTGATCGCGATAACCGAAAGACAGCACTAGTGTTGCTTGTTGTATAATTGCTCGCGTCTCGCTTTGATTATACTTTCGAGCGATCAATTTTATCTCGCGCATTCTTACTTTCGTTCCGAGATACTTCGAAGTATTCGTTATCATTTTAAAATAACACAGATTAAATTATATTCTTATATTGTTACAGCTCTTCTCAAACAAAAAAAAAAAAAAGAAAAAAAAAGCACGAACGCTCGGTGAGAATAGAGCAGCTGTGTCGTATATTTTTAGAAAACCTTTCATCTTTTATAAAGTATGTAATAATAATAAATAACAAACTTTGGGAGAGAGAGAGAGAGAAAGAGAGAGAGAGAGAGAGAGATCATTATTTTGTTAAATCTTAACAAGTCTCACTGCCGGAAATGGATTTGTATAATTCAGCGAATAAGAAGAAAATTAACGAAAAGAAGGAGAGGCGTCTTTAAAGCTGAGCGCGTAATTTTTTTATCGCCAAATCTCATTATCCTTACATATCGACTCGATAGTCCGATTTAACGCCGATCAATCGGGATATTCTCCTTAAAAGGGAGTCACGTTCTTTTCTTTCTGGTTTTTTTTTTTTTTTTTTTATCGATCGACCATACCGCCGAGGGTTTGAGCAATCAGCACCACAAAAGAGTTTCGCGATGCAGCCGTGACGCAGCGATTGACTTTCTATTACTTTACCCGGCGCGGTAGGAAAAAAACAAAGAATCGATTAACGTAGAAACCGCGCCGAATGTTTCGGAGCGCAGCAGCAGGTGTCGCAAAAAAAGCGTATCTTACTCGTTATCATTCCGTCTCCACTTTTCCGTTTGGCGGAAAATATTTTCAACTATTGAAATTGTCCGAGGCTAGATTAAATTTCGTCGGAACAATGTTTTCTTTTTTTTTTTTTTTTCGCGAACCGCAAAATCCGCATTTTTCATACGTTTCTTCTTTCAGATACGTTGTTTAATTGTTGTTAATTGTCGCGCGCTGTTAAATAAAACGTAACCAAATTACAGAGGGGCGATAAACGGATAAAGGTCGGGCTCGCGCGCGCGTTATCCCGCGCCGCGAAAAACGAGCGAGAAAAATCAGATATATATTATATCGATCGCGTGTGATCGTCCCGAGCTGCACGCGCGCGCGCAAAAAAAAAATTATTTCGCTCCGCGCGCTTCATGCACATTCCGCGTTATATCCGAAAATCAATAAAGAGAGAATATTCACTTTACTCTCGCTGTTGTTTCCTTCGCGAACGTTATCGCTGCTGCGCGAGAGCGGCACCCGCTCCCCGCTCTATTTTCCCCTAACATCCATCAATCGACGACAACGATCACGTCGGGATAATTACGACGTCCCAGGCCACACCACGAACAAATTAACCCATCCTGTTTCCTTCCTACGTGCCTCGCCGCTGACGCATTTATTTTCCCGGATTGTAGTCCGTGCTCGCCACGGTCACCTTTTTTTTTTTTTTTTTACGAGCTATAAAGCGACTCTTGGAGTAGAACGCGACACAAAACGCGAACTGTTCCGAGCCACCGGCGTTACATCAATTTCAAGCTCTTCGTTCTCTCATTTCCGCCGCCGCCGCCGCCGTCGTCGAGAATTGCGGTCGCGGGAGTGTAAGTTTTTCAATTTGGCGAGGCCGACCGTCGCCGCGCGTGTCGAAGAGGTTATACCTCCGCTCGAAAAAAAAAAAAAAAAAGTTGGAGTTTGTATACACGTTATGAATCGCACGCTTCTGCGCGACCGATAAAACACGGTCCGGCCAATTTGCCGCCGCTTTACAAACGAGAACGAACGACGTGAACGAACGCCCGAGCGTTCTCTACGCTCTCCCACCCGTTTATCTGATCGTTTTTCTCAATTTTTGCCACTATCTTTATATATTTACTCGCGAAACGACTTATAAAGATGATCGGAACCGGTCGCTATGCAATTTTGCGCGAAATAGCTCGTAAAGACTCACCAACGCTCGAAGACTCCGTCTGTGGTGACCTCAGCATCCGCACCACAGTCGCCGATAACACGAAAGAGCAGCACGATGATCGCTTCTATACGATTTCCTGTAACAAATAAAGTCGTACAAAATTTGCACATCGTGCCGCGACGATAAAAATGTAATAATAAAGTTATTATCGCAATAATATATGACCTTGCGAGAACGTGTATATATTCTGATGTTTTCTCTCTCTCTCTCTCTCTCTCTCTCTCTTTCTCTCTCTTGCTCAACCCTAATTAGAAAAATAATTAAAAATTTTACTGTATTTTTATTAGTCATAAAACAGGGTGATTGCACCGGCGGGATTGGGGTAGAGGGGATGGGTAACTTAGCGGGAAAGTAAAGAAAGCTCTTTCTCCCGGCGGGAAAACTAATCAGCAAGCAACAGGAATCTCATGAATATCGAAACTGAAGTTAACGAATTACTTTCTTCGATATTACACGGTACAAGCTTCATTCGTTCTCTCTGTGACGCAAAGTTTCTCTCTGCACATTTTAATTAGAAACAGAACAGAGATTTATGCAATTCGACGCGACTGTAAATAAAATTGCTGTTTTTTTCTTTTTCTGCGTAACGTGAAACTTATAGCTTCTCGATAACATATTATTATGAGAAACTTCAACAGCAACGGGGACACACGTCTCATTAATATTACATCTCTGATTGTTGCCCTCCCCCCTTCCCCCGTGCTTTCGCGAGGTTTTCGCATCGTCAGCGACTGAGAGATGCCTTAAATCTTTGATTCATAAACTCATTGATTAATCATGAGCAAAAGTTTTTTCGAACCCTTTCGTTCCGCATTATGGCTCCCGGCGATACGCTCGGAGACACCGGAAGTGTACTCTACCCGCAATCATTCCCAGGATGCTTCAACTTCGAGATTTCGATTTTACGTCGAAGTTAAGTCGACATTTATTCGGATCGCTCCTTCCGCCCGAATGTTGGCCCGGCGGTTTTCCCTTGCAACGGGAAAATCGTGAAGTCCCACGAGCCGTACGCTTGGAAGCCGCAAGAGTCGGAAAGTCGCGCGGGGAAGGGACGCGCCCGGTTCCGCAAACTTCATTTCGTCGTTGCACACGCGCGGAAAAGCGCGCGCGAGAGAACCGTTGAGAATACGATCCGGAATCACGATATTCCCGGTGGACTCGTGCGCGGCGCGCGGCCGACTCTAATGCGCGTATATTCATAAAACGGGGGCGTTTTCGAAAGCGGAGCGAAATAAGATTCCGATCGATTTTTTCGCCGTTCGTCGCACGCTCGTTCGCAAATGCCCTCGCCATTTTGTAACTATTAGGGACCTTCGAGATCTCTTGAGAGAGGACCGAGACCGAGAGATAAGACGCTCTTGACGACACGCCAAGAAATTCCTTTGCACCATACGCGAATATTCTTTCTCTCTCTCTCTCTATCGTTAAAAACACTTTGAACATTAATATAAAATTGAATTTTTCTACAAGTAAATACGAGGTTTTCCATGTTTGTTTTTTTTATCGAAATTTATCTTTTATTTCGAAATGCATGTTTCCTTTAGTTTGTTCAAACCCCGGGATTGTTCAAACCGAAGAATTGCGTTACTCTTCGCATTCAGAGTTTATTTTTACTATGTACAATGTTTTTGAGATGTGTACAAATAACAATACTTTTTATTACTTTTCTTGACGAGAGTTTTATTCGTGAAACATGTGATTCAAAAAAAAAAAAAATATTTATTAAAAAGTATGCAAGTTAGTTTATATAGCAACGGCGATCTCTGCAGCAGCTGCGGAAAGGTCGCTATGTATTACTTTAATGATGCTCTCAAGAGTTATGAAAAGACGGCTTGAATTTTAGTTTGAAATCAGTTTCAAGTTATTCGCACGCTCCAACTAAATCGAAGCATTTCTGTTAAACGTATTTTCTTCTTTACTTTTTCAAACTTGCACTTCGGCAAAAAATATCGACAAGAAATGTCCAAGTTTCGACCTTACTTAGTTTAATTGACTATAAGCATATATATATATATATATTGATATAAAAAGAATGAAATTTGTGACGCGTGACGGCAACGGCTGGGCGGCAACGCATTTATCATCTTCGCATCTGTCGTTCGAAAGAGCTTTCCCGTTCGGTCCTTTCGTAAATTTTTGACACGCGAAATATTGAGACTCGCGAAGGGCAAAGAATTCGCCGGTAGAGTACTTGTGCGCGCGATATACACCATTCACACAAAGAGCAATCACTCTTTACTGACGCAATCATTTGGTATATATAGCTCTGCTAATTATGTGCGTTACTCTCAGAAATGCACACAGTGGGATAATTTAGTGTCGGTCAAACGCTCGTCTGTAATCAGTGCAAATTCTCGCATGCTTGATTCTCAAAGAGCTTTCAAACACGTTTAAAGGAATTCGTGTTTCGAACACGGTACAGAGATGCGCCAGATCGTCGAGAATCCAACAATGTTAACTTTATCCAACGTAGGAGGATAAAGGTGCCAGACACACACACGCGATGCGTGCAACACACTTGCGAACAACACACTTGTTTGATGAGTGTAAAACACGTTTGCGTGCGATTCAAAAAATTATTATTGCAAAATGCGCGCACGCAAAATTTTATTACAACATTGATATTCTTGTTAACGTGTGATGTTATTCAAGTTTCAATAAACGCAATGCTTGTGCACGCATTGTGCGTTTATAAAAATGTATATTTAATATCTCGTATTTAGAATAAAAAAAAAAAGCCAAAAAATAAACACATACACGCAACGGAATACCTGAAATATTTGATCAAAGTCCGTCGTATTGCTGAGTAATATATGCATAGTCGTATCTATCTGCAATTAACCGCGTGCAAGAACATCATCCGCGCCGTCGTTGTGTTAATAGCGCGTTGACTCAGTTACGTCGCTTTGAACATTTGCGCGGGTCGTAGAAATTAAAATATGTACCCGTTAAATTTTCCTACCGTAATAGGAGACCGCCCCCCGTAATTGAGCTCTAAACATTCAATTACTTCGCCCTTCGCAATTTTGCCTCCCTCTTATAAAGTAGACATATCGTTAATATCTGATTACGCCACTTAATGCCCCAACGGTATAATAACCACTTATTAGTTTGTTTTAAATATATTAGATGCGTTCTCTCTCTCTCTCTCTCTCTCTCTCTTTCTCTTTTACACAAAGAAAATAAAAACGCTAAGTATATACAAAATATACAATAGCGGACGCAAATAATCTCAAGCGTCTAAAACTTTGCATTAAATTCTCTATATATTGAGCAACTTTCCCTACATAATAATTTATTATCCGAATGCGTTTGCTCGAAATTTCGAGCAGGCGATATTCAGGTTTCTCCGTCTTAACCAATTTCTATCATGGGAATTCAACTCTCAGATATGTACATCGAGCAACCGCGACGTTATCTCGGCTTGATTACACGAGAAGGATCATCTAATTTTGTGTTTAGTTGTGTACAACTAAATCCTAAGATAGTAATTCGAGAGAAAAAAAAACTATTAGAGAGAAAAATATTTTGCAATCTACCATTCTCACTCTCGATTAAACTTTTCGACGATTTAAAAGAAAAAGAGAACAATATTTTTGACAAGATCTTTAGACAGCGAAAGAATGAGCGTCATCTTTGCTCTTTTTTTTTTTTTTTTTTTTTTATTGATACGTCGTGATTTTTGTGACTGCTCAGATGCGAAATTACTTGAACACTTCGATTACGCGAGGAACCCTCTTACGCGACGAATAGTCGATAAGAATCGATCGGAGCGCACACGTAATCGCGTGCCACTCAGACGTTCGTTCGTTCTTCCCTACGAAGACGTAGGAAAGACGCCGTATTCCCACACACGGGAGGAAAAACGGAGGAGGAGGGGAGGCGGGAGAAGCTTCAAGAGGTTTTCGAAGTTTCGGGGACCACTCGGTAAACTTGGTTTCGTGCTCGCCGTGGGTAAAGAACGACGCATCCCGGAGTCACGCTGCTCCCAAAGGATTTCATGCGGAGTCTCGTTTAGGTACGTACACTCGGCGCGACGCCGAGCGTTCACGACGTGCGAAATGAGATTTCCCTTGATTTCTTCTCTATCCACCGCGGCAAATATAGGTATGCGCGCGCGAGCACGCGCATACGCGTGTGTGAGAGATGACATCGTCTGTGACATCGTTATCGCTTTGTCGCGCGAGTCGCGCTCATTTGCGCTATATTTGATAACGCTCTCTTTCGCCATTAGCCTTTTCAGCCTTATGCTCGCGTCTATAACCAAATCGCATTAACGAAACTAAATAGGGTACGGGGTTTTAATACAGAGAGACTTTTATAGAGTCCGCGTATCTCGCGTATCCCAGGTCACGGTTGTAATTTCTAAACGTCAACGCTCGTAAATAGTTTCTACTAATTACGGAACACATAGTGATAAATAGCGAGAGAGAAGCATGTACGAAATACGTGTAAACACGTTTAAAATTAAACACACAGCGCCCGTCTTCGAGCGTGGTTCACGTCATTTAAAAGCTGTTTTGGGGGGATACGACGGCGACGACGACATTTGACGCCTGCGGACTTCTCCATACGAGGATCACTTGAGTGGAAGCCCCGGGATCGAGTTTCAAAAGAGAGGACCGACGTGCCGATACGTTCCCGCTTTGTCAGCCGTTTTCTGTATGTACTTCGAAACGGCGCGAAGTCCTTTGCGTCGACGATTTGCAACGTTGTTCTGTTAACATAGCGCTATCGATTTTCTCACACGACTCGCTCGCGCGCACATACGTTCGCTGTGTGTTTTTCGCGCACGGAATACTCGTGATCCTTTTTTGAGACTAAATCTTTTAGCATATCTCTCTCTCTCTCTCTCTCCCTCTTTTCCCCCCTCTCTCTTTCTCCCCTCTAACCCCCTTTCTATCTCTCTCTTTCTCTGCGCGTATACCCCGTGCAAAATATCTCGCGCTCTTAATGGAAAACCCACTGCAAATCGATTACTCTCGTAAAACTGCAACAAAGATCGAGAGATGTGTTCGATGCAGCCTCGTAGTTCGGAACTTTCGGTGATACGCCGGGAGGTTTACGAGCTAAATA